GTTGATTTGTCTATTTTTAAAGGGAAAAGATATGTAAATTTACAACGCATATCTTGCAGAATTACCGATAATTCATTTTCCGATTAAATTTCAACTCTAATAAAAAATTCCAGAGCATTTAACATGCGCTAAAAGAATCGCATTAGTGAAATAAAAGTAAATGCCCAATAAATTAAATATTAAGAAAATATACAAATAATGTCTATAAATATTAAAAATAAAATGCTTCCTTTAAAAATTATTTAACGTACGACATTTGACCATTGCAAAGAATTTTATTTTATTGATATCATTAACGCAGAGAGATTTTTTTTAAACGAATAAAAAAAAGATGATCGTTCTTGGATAATTACTTTGCAAGGAATATCTCCACAAAGCTAGGTAATGGAATCAGAACGAATATTATTTTCCAAATTAAAAATAGTCATAAAAATTATAAATAATAATTCCGCACTTCACAGATTCAATAATTCGTTTGATCATTTGTCACTGCTTAATCAAATTGTTCGTTACTCAAAAACATTGCATTGAACCTCAAACACTATATTTTAAGAATAGTAATTTAATGCATTTTCTGCGGAATTTTTAGGAAGAAAGATTGCGAGGACTTATCACAAATAAAAATGTCTTTTTCAAATCTGTACATTCAGTTAGACTCCATCAGAGACATACATTTTTTAATGCATGAGGAAATATTTTTGATTAATGGGAATTTAATGCAGTTCCTTTCCATGAATAATGATGATTTCATTCGTAGTTAAGAGTCGATTAAGAGAAATTAATCTCTGATGGAATTATTTTCATTGATAAGAAAATATTTTGCAGTCCTATGAGTTCAAAAATTACTCTAACGTACACATGGAAAACATAGAATAGGTTGTATCAGTTATTGTATGTATTGTATGGCATAAACAGAATTTTAAAAGATACCAACAACAAAAGGTTTTTACAATGAAATTTAGTAATTATTACTCGAGATACATTCACATGTACGTACAAATGTCATTAAAAAAGTTTCTTCTGAATCCATTTTGAATCCTCCATTTTACAATCCATTTCGGAAAAAAAAAAAAAAAAAAAAAGGAATCCTTTATTCTGTAAGTACGTACAGATGCCAAGCAAAATGGATTCGAGAGCGGTCAAGAAAGATATTTTCGTCGAAATATGATATCCGAAATTTTTCTCGATTACAATACTTACTTTCTTTACTTCACACAAAAAAATTTTTAAAAAATCTTAAAGCTTTCAGATTTCACATTACGCCCAAAGGATCGTTTTTTAACGTTTTGTGGCTTATCTTATTAAATATCACGTTCTTCTCACTTAAACCATAAAATTCAAATCAACAGCAATATCGAGGGGGGGGCGGAAGTTAAAATGAGCAGATTTTTAGAATTTTCGATACACAGTCTCGCGCCCTGGAGTTTTTTTTTTTTTTTTTTTTTTTTTTTTACAGTGTTGTTATTGCTTGCTTTGAAATCGTTGAGTTTCTTAGTCAAAAATTCGTTAAAGTGTTACAAAATATGAAGTCGATAATAAAATTAATTCCAAGTGTGGGCTTCTAGATGCCCATATTCGGGTGGAAACGTACGTTATTCAAAATTTGATGACTCTAGGTTTATCACTATGGAAGAAGCATACATAATTTTATGCAGATTCTTCATTATTTAATTTCTTTAAATATAATACAGGGCTGCAATATTTGGTGGCAACAGTTTGAAAAGTGAACCGACATTTAAAGTTTTCAAATCAAAATGCAAAAACGAAATTAATGGCCCTTCTGGGCTTCTAACGCCCTTGGGGCTATAAAAAGAACTTTAACATTCAGCTTCAAGAGGAAAAATGGTCCCAAATGCGGAAATGTCCCAGGAAAAAAAGCGAAATGTTTCGATTGCTCCTTTGGAAAGCCCCTTTGGACTAAAAAACGCCATTTGGACATAATTTAAAATCTGAAACCTTTCAGATTTTTGAGATTTTTTTCCCCCTTCTGTATTACTTCTATAGTATAAACAAATCTTCATTCAGTTTGATTTGCACGTATATCCCTGAGATACTTAGGTATCAGTAAACAATCGTCATTCAAGTGCAACAATATGTTATGGTCTATATGCTGTACAAAAATGTGTTATGTTGATTGTTGTAAAAATGTTATGGCCTTTAAGAAAAGTACCACTTCTGGTTATCCAGTTTTACTCAAAATCTGCCCGGATATTTATATCAATACAGAAAACTTGAATACCGAAAATAGAGGTTTTTCAAAGTTTGATGTAAGAGTTTCCTTGGACGAAAAAATCCTCACTTACAACATACAGAGAGACAGACAACATTACAAAAATGGTAAAAACGTGTTGTGGGGACACTATATCCTGATCTTTACCTGAAAAAAGCTCGTTGCTACTTAAAACATGGAACTGGCAAGATGCCATGGGCTGGCCACATAAAAAATCGCTAAACTGGTAACAAGGTGGTTGAGCTAATACGTAAGTATCAAATAATTTTTTTCAAGAACAAAATAAACCTTTATTGACATCAAAAGGCCAGAGATTAAAGAAGCATTCATCTACTTGAGCGATAGGCGCCAAACAGTGGGAGGACAGTTCAGGTTGCAAGTTTAAACCTTCACTAAGCTAGGGAGAAAGGGAAAAGGGAAGGGATATTTTCTTACGCCTTACTTCGGCTGTCATGCGACTCTGCATATGAATCTTCGTGCTGATCACGTGACTTTGTCAGTAGACGTGGTGAATACGCTCATTAGATTACTATTAAATACGCTCATAAGCTGTTTGTTGTATTTTTAGATTACTATTAAAATTATTAATTACTTAAAAATTAAATAATCAATCAAATTAAATATGTTAATAATTATCAATTAAAATGATTATTTAATTATATTTCATTAATAATTAATAAATTTAATATGATTAATTAATTAGATTTCATTAATAATTAAGAAATTAAATATGATTAATTAATTATATTTCATTAATAATTATTATTAAATTAAATATGAATTGTGGTTTATCCCAGAAACTAAGAAGTTCAGGAGACGGGCTCCCAGTTGTCGTTTAATTACCTTATAAATTATTTTCTAAACAACTTAATGACCTTATAAATTAATTATCCTAATAAAACAAAGTAGATAACATATGGTCTTTTCCTAACTTATCGTTCGCATTGACACATTTTTTAAAATTATTTACTTAATATTTAAGTATATGTTATTTATCTAGCTATAACAAACTGGAATTAATTTCTAAATAAATTAATTGTACTCCTAACACGAATTATTTAGAATAAGAAAAGCACTCGCGGGTTATTTGCACAAGATGGCGGAAATCCGTTAGTCGGAACTTAACTCCAAGACGAACTACTAGGGTGCAACAGTTTTACCGCTATCTCGCTGACAGACACTCTGTATCATACAAGCAATTTTTTAATCCCTTCTCATCAAGTTTATATCAAAATAAAAAACTTATAAGACTTTGAAATGCTAATAAGTTAATGTAAAATATTAAAAGAAACAATATTCTGCTACTTTTCTATGTCAAGGATATTTCACTGATTTCTTTACATAGAGGATTTTGCGGATTAAAATTCGGTGTATGAGTAAAAAAATTTAAACTATTAAACAAAACATGAGCAAAATTCTTTCTTAGATAAACAAATAAAAGTTAATTAAATTTATATCTTCAAACCTTTGAATACGATTTATCTTCATAGTTTTTTCTGCTGTGTTGTTACTCATGTTAGTTTTTAATGGTAATGAATATACATATTGAAAGTTTTGCATCACCGTATTTGCAACAAATACATAACCGAAATATATTGTTAGAAATCTTGTTTCCCTGCAGTATGCAATTCAGGATTACATTTCTTTGTTTACCTACATTAAAACTATTTTCTTGTTTCAAGACGAAGGGGAAAAAATTCTGCTTCCGTGCTAATAAATTCAAAAGATGCTGGTTTTTGAAAAACCTGTAAAAAAAACGCGAAAATTAAAAAAAAGGAGGGGGAGAGAGAGACAGATGTCACGACAGACAGACAGACAGACAAAGTCTTTTGGTTAAGTCAAGATTATTTCAATGAACGGTTACGGTTAAGCTGCACTGGATTCGCTTTGTGGTTGTGCATGTCTTGAACATAGGAAATGTTAAACATTGCTCTTACTCCAATAAGATTAATATTTGTTTACATTTTTTAGATATAGAATCACACAGACAAAAAATCAGTCATCGGGTTGGTACAGTATTTGCATTAAGGCTTCATTAACACGAATGATGTCGCCACAGTGGTATCCAATTTATTGCCGATTTACTTACAAAATTCAGATAACCTTTTCATTCAGTTCATTTATAAACAACATTAAAGACACACATATTAAAAAAGGAACACTTTTTCTTCACACAGTCGTCTATCAAATTTAATTTTTGCAAAAACTTTTATTATTGAAAAAATATCTGCTACTTATTAATGCAAAATTATGTTAACAAATAAAAATATAAAATACGTTTATATACATTTTTACTGTTTATGCAAGTAATTTTGATCAAACAAATTTTTCTACGAAATTTTGATTATTTACATGGAATCGATTTTTTGCGAAATGACGTAGGCGCAAAACTCCGCGAACTTTGACCTCTCAACTCTGAACCTACATCATTTTGGTTGAGTGCCCTGTGTGTATCGCTTCAAAAGGAATCACCTGCCAAAGCAAGTATTTTTTCAATTAAATTTTTATCTCTTTGCATCTATTGATATTTGCATATTTGAATTACTAATTTTTATTTATATTAAAATTTTTATTTCTGTAACTTAGGAATATTTGTAATTTCTTCATATTTCAGAAGTTATTAATATTTATTTCTGCATTTTTTCCCTGTACTACTAAGCCTTTATTCCTGTATGTTATCAGTGTTTTAGTTTGATATATTGTTAGCTTAAATTTAACATCTCTTTTAATTTAAAAATAATACATTTAATTTAATATTTGATTTGATTTATTTAATTTCATTTTGTTAGGTTCTATTTTTTCTTTGCTATGGCTACTTCATCATTAATGCAGAAATTGAAATACTTCAACATGATGACAGGAATGTCATTGATTAATGATGAAGAAAAGGCAGTTATTTTAGCAACAGAAGCTGGCTTGCTTCCGAAAAAAGAGGAGGCCCCACCTTGCCCAAAATGTGGTCATAAGATGAATGCCAATTCCAGGAAAGAAGCAAAACTTGGCTGGAGATGGATTTGCAGCAACAGGAATAGAGGCAAGTGTCCAGGAATGGTTAACCCCGTTGCAGGCACATTTTTTGAGGGGACCAAAGTTCCAGTCAGGGAGTGCATGGTCTTCATATTCCTCTTTGTACTGGAGATGAATTTCACGTTTATAAAGATGAATTTTATGTCATGGAGGAAAGAGCAGAAGTTGCCAGAAATACGCGACGAAACAATATGCGACTTTATGTCCTATTGTAGAGAAATCTGTGAGGTATTTGCCTCTCATCACAGTACACAACTTGGTGGAGCAGGTAAAGGATTCTTAATTTTTTTCTGTATTTATTTTGTCTCACAAATTAACTGAGCCATGTATTTAATTCAACTTTTAATGAGATATGCATTACCTTATATTTTAAGTCCCTTACCAGTCGAGTGATAAAATGACTGAATACTCGTAGTTTAACCGTAATGAAGATCCTAGCAAACAGGCTGGCTTCGCTCCCAAGAGTATTCACAGTTTTCACCATGTGTAACATGAATACAAGTAAGTTCCCCTAAAAAGTACTCCATGAAGGCACCTCTCCTTTTAGGCAAATAGCCCTTTATTGCATTCCTATAATGTAAATAATAATTAGTTATATTTCAGGGTACTTATGTATTAGCCAATACTTACAGATGCACTGCTAACAATACACTGCAGTGATGCTTTCTTTAGAATACTGCAGATGTTCCGAAATAATAGTTCCAGAAAGATGCCAATTGTTAAAATATAATAAACATTTTTATTTAATTTTCAGTTTGCCGAAGAACAGCAACTATTCCAGTTGCAATGCTTCAAATTGCAGATGACAGAAATTGTATAATGGAAATGTTATCGACTGTTCAAGATGTAATTGAGCTGGGAATTGGTTGGTGGAAAGTTGCTTGCCTAGTTATGCAGGAGAATTCGTGTGGACGAAAGCTGCAGGTTAAGTTACGTTAGGACATTTTAACATATTAAAGTCAAAAGGGCTATCTGTGTAAAAAGGAGGAATGCCATTGTGAAGGACGTTTTGAGGGAAACTGGCTTATAATCAATTTACACATGGTGAAGATTATGAAAATAGTTTGCTCGCCTGGTAGACGCCATTTTATTGCAAAATTGTGATAATATGTTTCATTTACCTTTTATTTGCCTTGCAGGTAAAACCATTTTAGTTGATGAGACATTTCTTACCAAGCGTAAGTATAACAGAGGGCGGGTTACCAAAAACATGACAATAACTGTTTTAGGAATATATTGTCGAGAAGACAAAGAAGGGCTGTTTTTTAGAGTTAATGGGAAAAGCAAGCGAGATATATGGCCATATATAAAGCGTCATGTTCATCCAGAAACTTCAGTCATTTGTACCGATTCAGCTAAACAGTATAAAAATGTAGAAAGCATGTTCTCTGGAGCTGTTCACAAGACAACAAATCACAGCAGAGGTAATTAAATCACTTTGTTTTCATATCTGAATATATTAATAAGTTAACAATTTGTGAATAAATTATTTTACAGGTCATGATTATAATCATAGGTCATAATCATAATCGGTCAGGTCATAATCGGTTACAGTCAGCTTGTTAAAAAAATATGTTTATGAAGAAATTTTCTAATGTTAAATAATTTCCTCAAGAATACACAAAAGCTTATTGACATATTTCCATTACAGGTGAATTTGTAGCTAAAAAGGATAAATTCAATACGATAAATCAGTTAGAAAATGAAAACAAAATTTTTAAAAGAACAATTGTTAATAGACGCAATGATCAAAGTCTGATACAGTATATGGCCCTTCATTATTACAAGCGTTTTCGTTTGAAGCAATTTCAATATCCGGGCGAAAAAAATTTACCAGTTCCTACAAGATATTAAAACTGTATATCCTGGCTATGGAAAAAATGGTTTAGAGTTGAAATTTATAAATGAGCCAACAGTACAAAGTGAGGATATTGAAGATTTAATGCCACCAAAAAAAGCTGCCCGTCAAGATGATGAAATGCAGCAGTTTATTGAAGATGGTGATGATATGTGGGGTAAGAATAAGCAATTTTTCATTTTAATTTATTTTAAGAACTTGATTCTTTTTCTAAAATGCATCATAAAAAGTAAACAATGAGATATAGCATTTTTATTATTATCTGCTTACATTTAGCAATAAATATGACAGCTTTAAAGGCTGATAAACCATGGCAATATGGTTCCCTATTTGTATATTATTTCTTTATTATGTATCTTATTTTTCTTGTAACAGTGATTTCATTTTTATAATATCTTGACTGTTATACTTAAAAAAACATTTTTTGCCTCCCTTGGTTTTTGAATTTTTCAGGTTCGGAGGATTATGGCTCTTGGCGACACCTCCGTAAAAAAAAAAAAAAAAAAAAACGCATCACGATTCCTACCTCCTGATGTAGGTTTGCACTTGATGTACAGACATAATTACTTTCAAAATTTTTAAATATTTAACGTATCATATTGCTTAATTTGTTATGCATGTCATGCTTCGCAATAACCAATTTCTTCATGATTATAATTCAACTTTCATTTCCTTAAAACTGAAATTAATACTTAAAAGTAACAATTGAAATATTTAGCATGCTTCTTTAAGAGTATTTTACAGTTTCTGTTTTTTTAAAGCAAGTGCAAACCTACTTCTAAGGTGATGTGGAAATGGAATCTATTTATCCCCACCTTTTTAATTATGGAAATATTTTAAACAGATGCTGAAGCCAGTCAGTTTTTAAGAATGTTAAGTATGACTCTGAGTGTGTGACCTGATATGAGGAGGATAGTGCAAGACAGGGATTATAACTACTAGATTTGTGTTGCATGCAGTGTGAACATTTCATAAGTGTACAACAAAGTGATTTGGATTAATTATTTCAAAACACGAACCTCAGATGTTAATATTTCAAGAAACTGTTTTTTAGAAAGAACTGCAAATATCAACAAGAATATAATAAAAGGATATACAATACGTTATGCACAACTGCAATGGGGTAAGTTAAAATTCTTGTACCTATTTTTGCATTCATTCATTCATATATTTTATTATAAATTTGTTGGTAATATAATATGAATGGATAATTTTATATAAGATATTTATTCTATATAAAATGCTAACATAAGTTTATTTTAATATAGAGAGTAAAAGTAAATCTATAATGAACGGTTTAGTTCATCAAAATAAAATGTCATCCGAGTTATCTGAGTATCTCCAAATAATATACTCATGTATATTTTATCTTTTAAAATTTTTAACGTTACTTACGTGATAAATATTCCATTTGCATAATCTTTACTGCATTTATATGAAGAACATGTTTTCAAACATATTTAACTATTATTATAGATAAGTGTAGAAATTAATGGTCAGAATTTAAAAAGAAAAGTATTAAGTAAGTTAATAATGTTGGAGTTATATATATCTTCATCTAAAATACTAAGGTGAAAACATGTATGTAGATTAACTTTAACATATCAACAACTAAATTAATTTTATGTACATTGTTTACCTTTTTAACGCAAACGCGTTATTGTATTTAGCCTCAGGCGATTTTCGCCTAGCACCGGTTTCTCCCCTATGTCCGGCTCAGGAGGGAAATTTTGGAAAGCGTCTTTTGACGTCATTTCCCTCTTGGCGTCAAAAAAATCCTTCCGAGGATTTGGCGATTTTCGCCGATTCAAGATGGCGGAAAAAATTGCGCCAAGTGCCGGTTATCTGAGTCTTCCCTTAAATTTACAAATTAGTCGAAGTAATTTGAAATTAAGATATATTATTTAAAATTATGAGTGTTATGTTATTTAAAGTTTTAAGTGTTTGAGGTATCGAAGTTTTTCACAGTGGCTTTATTTATTTTCTTATTTACTTCATATAATTTTTAAAAACTTTAAATATTAATTATTTTTAGTAATTAGTTAGTTTATGGGAAAAATATTAAATAATTTCCGCTTGAATATTTGATAAATATGTGCCCTGGTTATTCAGTTATAAAGCTGTGCTATACAAATCGATTTTTATTTTTAAAATTTCTGAAAGCTAAACAGTTTGAATTCACAAGAGGAAAAGAAAAAAAAAAAAGAATCAAAGCTATCGAAATATCTAAGTGAATGAAATTTTATCTCGATTTTATCATACTCCTAAAAGTAAAGCTATAAATAACGATTTACCAATAAAGAAAACCCCAGAAGAGAGGAATAAAAACAGAATAAAAAAGAAGTTCTAAAAGCCGCAGTTTCTGTCTTATTATGTAAGCAAAATGGGCGTTTGAGCCATTACGTAGAGACAAAAGATCGTTTGTTCTCCCTTCATTGGGTAGCCAATCAACCACTCAGGGGACCGGGAAACAATGACGTGTGCTCCACGCAAGGCTGAACTTTGAATCCCCGGCTAAATTTCAACCTCATAACGTAATTACTTCTGCTCGTCGATTCTAAGACGATTTTTCAAAACTACCTGCGAATCTTTGTTTTTTGGAAGCGGAAGAAGGCGCCTGCTTATTTTCGGTTGACTTCAGCTTCCGGTCACGTGGGCTTTTTAGCGATACTTTTTGGTACTGTATTGTGTTAAATATTAAGTCATTGCCTGTCATGAATCTGTAGTTCACGCATATTCAGGCAAAATACTTCATGTACCAAAATTTAACAAAACAAAACAAAACAAAACAAAACAACAACAAAAAAAAAAAAAACAATATTTTTTCAGTCGGGATTTTACATCAAATTAAAGAAAAATGGAAATAAATAAAGAAATAATAAATTAAGGTTAAAATAAATAAAATTAGTAATCTCCAAATAAAATAAAATTCGTTGGTAGGTAGCAAGTAAATGATTATTGTATTCCCGATCATGTGATACATGGTGTTAAAAATATCTTTTATTAATTATATTAATGATGTAAACACCTGTTATTAAATAATGCAGATTATGCACATGGCCGTATGTAAGGGCTTTCCCTTACATAACGGCTGCTGTTACTGAGGCTGAAGAACAGAAGCTGAAGGGGCTGCTGTTAACTTGCCCCGAAATTTAAGTTTCAGTTTATAAATAGAACACAGCTACAATAATACGAAAATTATAATGCATTTTTTGTGCCTGTCTTAAATGTAAAATAAATAATTATTGCCTTGCATAACAATAAAAATATAATACTTCGAAAAATAAGACTAAAAATAATATAATGCATTTTAGTACAAAATAGTTAAAAAATTATTAATATTAATAGTAAAAAAAATAAAACAGTAAGTAAAAATTATACTTTAAAAGTATAATAAATTTTTCATATTGGCAAGTAAACAAATCATTGATTAAATTGTCAATATCTGCAGACACTGATATATATTCAATATATTTAGATTTTATCTGGAGACCTATAAATAATAACAAACGTTTTATTTGTGAAAATACAGAAAAAATTACGAGATAGTTCCAGTCTGACTAGTTGCAAAAATTTAAATGCGTTGCTTATTCTGAAAGGGTTTAAGTTGTTTATTGTTCAACGTGTATGTTATTTTTAACTGATGAAGAAGTGGGCAAGGGAAAACACGAAAACATTTGAGCTTATGTCAAACAACCCTACTGAAATCTGTAAAAAGCACAGTAATCTTTTAGACAATACGAAAAGACAAGTTACCTTAAAAATGTAGTATTGTAGTATTGGCAGAAAGTAATATCGAAGCAATTGTTGAAAATAATATGGAAATTATTGATAAACAACTAGATACACACACACACACACACACACACACACACAAAAACCCAAAAAAAAAAAAAAAAAAAAAAAAAGGCGGTAAGGAAAAATAGAACAAAACTTATGCCTGTGAGAAACCTTACGTTTGTCATTATATTAAAAAAAATCATAAATTAATAAATTTTAAATTACTTAAATTTTTTTTTTTTTTTTTTTTTTTTTAGTCCAAAAGGGATGTTAGTACCAAATGGAATATTACCGTGTTTACTCGCGTAATAGCCGCACTTTTTCTTCAGTTTTTCGTTGTGAACATCTATTATGCGGGGGAACCAACTATACGTTTTGACGATTGTTTGAAAACGGGGGTAATGCGTTGTATCACTTTTCAAACTATTGCCAGCAAATATTATTATTCTATGTTACATTTAAAGAAATTAAATAATGAAAAACCTGCATAAATGTATGTGTATTTCTCGCATTATGGAAAACAACAATACATAGAGCCATCGATTTTTAATGACGTTATCCTCCTAGGAATATGGGCATGTGGAAGAGCAAATTTGAAATTTGGAATTTGTTTTATGATCGTTTTCATATTTTGTAAAACTTTAAAGAATTTTTGATTAAAAAACTCAAGGATTTCAAAGCGAGCAATGGCAACGTTGTACAGAAAAAACATTTTTATCTCCAGCGCGTGAGTCTCTGTATCGGAAATTCTAAAGATATGCTCATTTTAAAACTATTCTGCGACATTGCCATTGAACTGAATTTTATGGTTTAAGTGCGAAGAACGCGATATTTAATAAATAAATGTAACGCACAAGATGTTAAAAAAACGCCCCTTCAGACGTAATTTAAAATATAAAACATTTCAGATTTTTTTTTTTTTTTTTTTTTTTTTTTTAAAGTCACGAGTTGCCATTGGTATTAGAAATAATTTGTATGGCCCAAACCTAATAGTTTTGACACCTCTATCTTTATACATTAGCCTCGAAATTTACAAAAGGAATTAGTAACCTCGTTTGGTTATCTTATGCGCAGAAAAATAATTGAAACGGCTAATAAAAACCAGGCATTTCGTAGATAATCAATTTTCACTTTGTGTAAGGTATGGGTGTAATGAAATTCCATTTTAAAGTGAGGACTTTTTATCATTTAATCCAGTACATGATGTTTCTCGTAAAACTCTTACAAATGT